GTGGGTGGTTGGGTGAGTAGGCGGTTGAGTGGGTAATTGAACGAGTGGGTGAGTGAGTGAATGTGTGAGTGAGCGGTTGAGTGGGTGAATGAATGAGTGGATGAGTGAGTGAATGTGTGAGTGAGCGGTTTAGTGAGTTATTGAATGAGTGAGTGAGTGAATGTGTGAATGAGCAGTTGAGTGGGTGAATGAATGAGGGGGTGAATGAGTGAATGTGATCTTTCCCGAAGGATCCCGACCGAGCGCCGCGTGTCCCTCAAGGCCCCCCCCCATTCGCTACCCTGTCCCTGTCACGTGCCCTCTCGGGTTTCAATCGGGCTCCCACGTCCTCACTTGGCCCCTCTCTCAGGCCTTGGCCAGGGCTATGCCCCCTTAGGGCCTTGCTGGCATGGCGTGCTCACTCGCCCCCCTCCCCGAGGGAGGTTCCAGACGCACAGGAGCGCTCTTGTGATAGTGTCTGGCGCTAACACCGTCGTGACACCACCACGATCCGTTGGGTCCTTCGATCGCTCGTGTCGCGATCTAGACGGCCGTGTCGCGATCGAGACGGCCGTGTCGCGATCGAGACACCCGTGTCGAGATCGAGACGCCCGTGTCGCGATCTAGACGGCCGTGTCGCGATCTAGACGGCCGTGTCGCGATCTAGACGGCCGTGTCGCGATCTAGACGGCCGTGTCGCGATCTAGACGGCCGTGTCGCGATCTAGACGCCCGTGTCGAGATCGAGACGCCCGTGTCGCGATCGAGACGCCCGTGTCGCGATCCAGACGCTCGTGTCGAGATGGAGACGCTCGTGTCGCGATCTAGACGCCCGTGTCGCGATCTAGACGCCCGTGTCGCGATCGAGACGCCCGTGTCGCGATCGAGACGCCCGTGTCGCGATCGAGACGCCCGTGTCGCGATCTAGACGCCCGTGTCGCGATCGAGACGCCCGTGTCGCGATCGAGACGCTCGTGTCGCGATCGAGACGCCCGTGTCGCGATCGAGACGCCCGTGTCGCGATCGAGACGCCCGTGTCAAGATCGAGACGCCCGTGTCAAGATCGAGACGGCCGTGTCGCGATCGAGACGCCCGTGTCAAGATCGAGACGGCCGTGTCGCGATCTAGACGGCCGTGTCGCGATCTAGACGGCCGTGTCGCGATCTAGACGGCCGTGTCGCGATCTAGACGGCCGTGTCGCGATCTAGACGGCCGTGTCGCGATCTAGACGGCCGTGTCGCGATCTAGACGGCCGTGTCGCGATCGAGACGCCCGTGTCGCGATCTAGACGCTTGTGTCGCTATCGAGACGCCTGTGTCGCGATCGAGACGCCTGTGTCGCGATCTAGACGCCTGTGTCGCGATCTAGACGCTTGTGTCGCGATCTAGACGCCCGTGTCGCGATCGAGACGCCTTTGTCGAGATCGAGACGCCCGTGTCGCGATCTAGACGCCCGTGTCGCGATCTAGACGCCCGTGTCGCGATCTAGACGCCCGTGTCGCGATCTAGACGCCCGTGTCGCGATCTAGACGCCCGTGTCGCGATCTAGACGCCCGTGTCGCGATCTAGACGCCCGTGTCGCGATCTAGACGCCCGTGTCGCGATCGAGACGCCCGTGTCGCGATCGAGACGCCCGTGTCGCGATCGAGACGCCCGTGTCGCGATCGAGACGCCCGTGTCGCGATCGAGACGCCCGTGTCGCGATCTAGACGCCCGTGTCGCGATCGAGACGCCCGTGTCGCGATCTAGACGCCCGTGTCGAGATCGAGACGCCCGTGTCGCGATCTAGACGCTCGTGTCGCGATCTAGACGCCCGTGTCGCGATCTAGACGCTTGTGTCGCGATCTAGACGCCCGTGTCGCGATCTAGACGCCCGTGTCGCGATCTAGACGCCCGTGTCGCGATCTAGACGCCCGTGTCGCGATCTAGACGCCCGTGTCGCGATCGAGACGCCCGTGTCGAGATCGAGACGCCCGTGTCGCGATCGAGACGCCCGTGTCGCGATCGAGACGCCCGTGTCGCGATCTAGACGCTCGTGTCGCGATCTAGACGCCCGTGTCGCGATCTAGACGCCCGTGTCGCGATCTAGACGCCCGTGTCGCGATCGAGACGCTCGTGTCGCGATCTAGACGCCCGTGTCGCGATCTAGACGGCCGTGTCGCGATCTAGACGGCCGTGTCGCGATCTAGACGGCCGTGTCGCGATCTAGACGGCCGTGTCGCGATCTAGACGGCCGTGTCGCGATCTAGACGGCCGTGTCGCGATCTAGACGGCCGTGTCGCGATCTAGACGGCCGTGTCGCGATCTAGACGGCCGTGTCGCGATCTAGACGGCCGTGTCGCGATCTAGACGGCCGTGTCGCGATCTAGACGGCCGTGTCGCGATCTAGACGGCCGTGTCGAGATCGAGACGCTCGTGTCGCGATCCAGACGCTCGTGTCGAGATGGAGACGCTCGTGTCGCGATCTAGACGCCCGTGTCGCGATCTAGACGCCCGTGTCGCGATCGAGACGCCAGTGTCGCGATCGAGACGCCAGTGTCGCGATCTAGACGCCCGTGTCGCGATCTAGACGCCCGTGTCGCGATCTAGACGCCCGTGTCGCGATCTAGACGCCCGTGTCGCGATCTAGACGCCCGTGTCGCGATCTAGACGCCCGTGTCGCGATCTAGACGCCCGTGTCGCGATCTAGACGCCCGTGTCGCGATCTAGACGCCCGTGTCGCGATCGAGACGCCCGTGTCGCGATCGAGACGCCCGTGTCGCGATCGAGACGCCCGTGTCGCGATCTAGACGCCCGTGTCGCGATCTAGACGCCCGTGTCGCGATCTAGACGCCCGTGTCGCGATCTAGACGCCCGTGTCGCGATCTAGACGCCCGTGTCGCGATCTAGACGCCCGTGTCGCGATCTAGACGCCCGTGTCGCGATCTAGACGCCCGTGTCGCGATCTAGACGCCCGTGTCGCGATCTAGACGCCCGTGTCGCGATCTAGACGCCCGTGTCGCGATCGAAACGCCCGTGTCTAGATCTAGACTCTCGTGTCGCGATCTAGACGCTCGTGTCGCGATCTAGACGCTTGTGTGTCGCGATCGAAACGCAACCGTCATCAGTTAGAACTAAATTTGAGAGACAAAACACAAACACAGAGACACACAGACAGACACACAAGCAAAGCGAGACACACACAGAGACAGTAAGTCTGTTCTCTCTCTCTCTGTGTGTGTCTCTGTCAAATTTCACACTTAACTTCAAATGTAGCAACCTTTGGAGATCGTAATCAACTAGGCTATGGGTTAACTGTGTGCTATCCGACCTCTCTGCGTTGCATTGCATTGCATTTCTAACACAATCTATTTTTTTCCCTTCTAAGTTTGTATTTTCTCAAACGGCCTATTTATTCTCTCCTACAATTCAAGGGGCCTCCCCTTGGGCCATTCGCTCTTTCTCTCCGGGGTGAATATTCACGCAACTCTCTCTAAGATGTGCCGGTCTTGTTGGGTCCTTCAGTGACATGCTATTGCCTCTGCTGCAGCAGCTACCCCAGCAGACCCACCCACCTCTCTCTGGTTAAAGCCTCGACACAAGAGGCATTGCATCTCTGCGTGTCTATGGTGTGCGTGTCTCGCTCTCAAATGCAGTTGCACCTGATGACGGTTGCTTGTGTTGCAATCGTAAACGTCGCTCTCCATTATTTAAATGGATTTCCTCTCGACGCGACTTCACCGAAAGACGTCGAAGAATTTGAATTCCTGCAGTCACGAAAGCTTTGAGTCAAGATATTAATGTCACCAGGCAGGGATAATCCGGCACCGGTGGGTAGGTGAATGAGTGGGTGGGTAGGTGAATGAGTGGGTGGGTAGGTGATTGGGTGGGTGGGTAGGTGAATGAGTGAGTGGGTAGGTGAATGAGTGGGTGGGTGGGTAGGTGAATGAATGGGTGGGTAGGTGAGTGGGTGGGTGGGTAGGTGAATGAGTGGGTGGGTGGGTGAATGAATGGGTGGGTAGGTGAATGAGTGGGTGTGTAGGCGATTGAGTGGGTGGGTAGGTGAATGAATGGATGGGTAAGTGAATGAATGGGTAGGTAGGTGAGTGGGTGGGTGGGTAGGTGAATGAATGGATGGGTAGGCGAATGAGTGGGTAGGTAGGTGAATGAGTGGGTAGGTAGGCGAATGAGTGGGTGGGTAGGCGATTGAGTGGGTGGGTTGGTGAATGAGTGGGTGGGTAGGTGAATGAGTGGGTGGGTAGGTGAATGAGTGGGTGGGTAGGTGAATGAGTGGGTGGGTAGGTGAATGAATGGATGGGTAGGTGAATGAGTGGGTGGGTAGGTGAATGAGTGGGTAGGTAGGCGAATGAGTGGGTAGGTAGGTGAGTGGGTGGGTGGGTAGTCGCGTGGGTGGGTAGGCGAATGAGTGGGTGGGTGGGCGAGGGGGTGGGTGGGCGAGTGGGTGGGTGGGTAGGCGAGTGGGTGGGTAGGCGAGTGGGTGGGTGGGGTGGGTGGGGTGGGTGGGTAGGCGAGTGGGTGGGTGGGGTGGGTGGGTGGGCGAATGAATGGGTGGGCGAGTGGGTGGGTGGGGTGGGTAGGCGAGTGGGTGGGTGGGTGGGGTGGGTAGGCGAGTGGATGGGTAGGCGAGTGGGTGGGTGGGGTAGGCGAGTGAGTGGGTGGGTAGGCGAGTGGATGAGTGGGTGGGGTGGGTAGGCGAGTGGGTGGGTAGGCGAGTGGGTGGGTAGGCGAGTGGGTGTGTGGGGTGGGTGGGCGAGTGGGTGTGTGGGGTGGGTGGGCGAGTGGGTGTGTATGTGTTTTGTGTGGGTGGGTGTGTGTGTGGGGTTGGTGTGTGCGTTGTGTGGGTGTGTGTTTTGTGTGGGTGGGTGTGTGTGGGGTGTGTGTGTGTGAGTGTGTGTGGGGTGGGTGTGTGTGTTGTGTGGGTGTGTGTTTTGTGTGGGGTGTGTGTGTGTGAGTGTGTGTGAGTGTGTGTTGTGTGTGTGAGTGTGTGTGTGAGTGTGTGTGTGTGGTGTGTGTGTGTGTTGTGTGTGAGTGTGTGTGTGGTGTGTGTGTGTGTGTGGGGTGTGTGTGTTGTGTGTGTGTGGTGTGTGTGTGTGGTTTGACTGGTTTGTCAAGGCAGTGTCGTTACCCCGTGTGGCTGTTGCATCGAAAGGGGAAGACTCCGATGCGTACTGGGTGAGGCGGGCGAGATTCATATCCGGGAATGTACAGAAGTCGAGAGAAAGTGAGAGGGGAGAGAGACAGTGAGAGAGAGAGAGACAGAGAGAGACAGAGAGAGAGACAGCGAGAGAGACAGAGAGAGACATACAGAGAGAGACACAGAGAGAGAGAGACAGAGAGACACATAGACACAGAGACAGAGAGACAGAGAGAGATACAGAGAGAGACAGAGAGAGAGAGACAAAGATAGAGGCAGAGAGAGATACACACAGAGAGAGACAGATACACAGAGAGAGACAGAGACAGAGAGACAGACAGAGAGACACAGAGACAGAGAGACACAGAGAGAGACACAGAGATAGAGAGAGACACAGAGACACAGAGAGAGAGACAGAGAGAGACACAGAGAGACACAGAAAGAGAGACAGAGAGAGAGACAGAGAGAGAGAGAGAGACAGAGAGAGAGACAGAGAGAGACAGAGACAGAGAGAGACACAGAGAGAGAGAGACAGAGAGAGAGACAGAGAGAGACACAGAGAGAGAGACAGAGAGAGAGACACAGAGAGAGAGAGACAGAGAGACACAGAGACAGAGAGAGACACAGAGAGAGACACAGAGACAGAGAGAGTCTCAGTGTGTGTGTCCCTGTGTCAGTATGTCTCTGTGTGTCTTGGCGCGGTGTGCAGTCAACATCGCCACCGAGGGAGACAAAGGCGGCCGGGCGTGGTGCTGACCCAAGGCCACGACCCTCGTGTGTGCCACGGTGCCGGTGGCTGCACTTGCCCCTACAGCGGCGTCGCTGAAGGCTACACGGGGGACATTTGGCTTTGGCTGCTGAAGAGAAGCCGTCTCAAGGTGGATGCAGTCATCCTCACCAGTCACGCTCACCATTCATCCTCACCAGTCATCCTCACCAGTCACGCTCACCAGTTATACTATTGGTGTGTAAGTGTGCGTGTGAGTGTGTGTGTGTGGCCACGTGGAATGTTTGAATGCTCACTGCGGAGGAGAGGCTGCCGCTCCTCTGTCGGGAGCTGGAATGGTACCGCCTGGATCTATGTGGCATTCAGGAGGTCCGGTGGACCGGCTCTGGCTCCTGCCACCATGAGGGGTGGACAGTGCTCTACTCGGGGCAGCAGTCTGACAAACAACAGGGTGTGGATCTTCTTTTGAACAAAAGAATGAAGGAGGCGTGGGAGCGTGGCGGTGAGGTATGGGAAGCTGTAAGCCCCAGGCTACTTTGGGCTCGCCTTCCCATCAACCGGAGGCGAGGAGTGGTGGTCGTGGTTACTTATACCCCCACCGAAGACGAACATCCGTGGAGGGATGCAAGCAAAGCCGATGAGTCAGATGCCTTCTATGACCTCTTGTCACAGGTGCTGGCTAAAGTGGCCCCTTGGGATAGAGTCATCTTGTTGGGTGACTTCAATGCCCGAGTTGGTCATGATGCTGGCACCTGGTCTGGAGTGATTGGAGGGCATGGGCCAGATCAGCTCAATAACAAGGGTAGGAGGCTGCTAGATTTTTTGTGCAGCCCATGGGCTTGTAATTACCAACACGCTGTTCCGGCATCGGCGCATCCACACAACATCATGGATGCATGCCGGGTCCAAGCAAGAACATCTGCTGGACTACATAGTGACGGAACAGCAGATGCGAGCCCATGTCCTTGACACCAGGACCTACCATGGAGCTGATCTGGCCTCTGACCATCGACTTGTCATCTGTAAGATGCGCCTGCCATTCTTCCACTCCGGTAGTGGGTGTACACCCAGGACCCCATTCCAACCTAAAGTGGCCTGGTCTCAGTTATCTGATGAAAGTTGCAAGCGAGAATTTCATCATCGCTTGCGGCTGGGGTTGGCTCCCCCACTCCTCCTGATGTCGAGGGTAAATGGGCGAGGTTTAGGACTGTGACTCATGCAGCTGCATTGGCTGCTTTGGGAACGCGGTCCAGACCTCCCCAGAGACCCTGTCTGACAGAGGAGGTGTTCAGGATAGTTGAGAAAAAGCGACAGTCCCACTGTCATCGACTACAGAATCCCACGTCAGAGAATAAGGAGGCTTACCACAGCTTTCGCTCGGAGGTTCGGAGAGCCGTGAGGTGCTGCAAGGATGGGTGGTGGTCGCAGGTTGCTGAGGAGATGGAGTCTGCCCCTGTGGCCCGCGATCACAAATCTCTATTTAACTCCATCAAAAAAGTAACCTGCAGCGCCACACCTATTCCCATCATGAGAGGAAAAAACGGTGATCCAATCTCCGACCCCCAGGAACAGGTTTGCAGATTTGCTGAGCATTTCTGTGAGGTCCTGGGGGAGGGGAAATCCCTCAGCCAGAAAACCATCGTGGCACAAAGTGGGGATGACCCTGCAAAGGCTGCGGTGCCTCAAATATTGGAAGAAGTCACCCCCTGTGAGTGGCTGGCTGAGGTGCCATCTGTTGAGGAAGAACTTAAGGCGATCCGGAGTCTGAGACCAGGAAAGGCACCGGCCAGAGATGATGTCCCAAGCGAAATGCTGAGGGAGGGTGGCGTTTGTGTACAGACTGCCCTATATGAAATCATAAGAACAGTCTGGACGACTGGACGGGTTCCGCAGGATTGGAAGGATGCCCTGGTGGTCCCCCTCTTTAAGAAGGGGGACCGCACAGACTGTAACAACTACAGGGGCATCTCACTCCTCAGTGTGCCGGGAAAGGTCCTGGCAAGGATTATTCAACATCGCCTTGCCAGGCACGCTGAGGAGAGGCTTGCGGAGCCGCAATGCGGTTTCAAGAAAGGGCGGTCCTGCACAGATGCCATATTTTTTGTCCATCTGCTACAGCAGAGGTGTAGGGAATTCCAGCAAGACCTACATCTCTGCTTTATTGAGCTGGTCAAGGCCTATTATACCATCAGTAGGCCTGGGCTCTGAGTTGTTCTTCGTGCTTTCGGAGTCCCTGACCCTCTGCTCACGATCATTAAGGACCTTTATGATGGTGAGCGGGCCCGGGTAAAACTACGTGGCCGGGAGTCAGAGCCATTCCCTGTACACCTTGGGGTGCGACAGGGATGTCCTCTGGCTCCCACATTATTTAACATCTATTTTGACCACGTAGTTCGTGAAGCCTTCAATAGCTGTACCGGGGGAATCTCCAATTGGTACAGATATAATGGGAGGCTGATCGATGCCCGGGTGCGGTCAAGGGATGGCTCCCTATTGCTCAACCACGTTATGTATGCCGATGATTTGCTAATAGCGGCTCACTCAGAGGAGGAGTTGGAGACGCTGCTGCTGAGACTGGACCGTGCCACAAAGAGATGGGGCCTTACCATCAGCCCTACCAAAACTAAGCACCTGCCTGGGTATTTTGTACCATCGAACACTCCACCCCCACAACTCCAAATCGGTGATGGGGCAGTTGTGTACTTGGGCAGTGTGCTTATGACCAGCTCCAGTTTAACAGCAGAGGTCTCACTCCAAATCAGTCGAGCGGCAATATCTTTTCAACGGTTGCATAACGCTGTGTGGAAGCTACCTGGTCTGTCGCTCCGCACTAAGCTTCAGGTCTTCTCGGCCACGGTCATTCCCTCCCTTCTCTACGCTTGCGATACGTGGATCCCCCTAATGGAACATCTTCGCCGGTTAGAAACATTTAGGTTAGCCTGCCTACGATCCATCCTGGGTTTAACCAGACTGGATTGTGTGAGGAGCTCACAGATCCTTGAAAGATCTGGGCACGGTCCCATCGGTGAGCTCCTCCGGCAGGCAAGGCTGCATTGGCTGGGTCATGTAGCCCGCATGCCCAGCCACTGCATGCCGAAACAGCTTTTGTTCGGCCGGATCGAGGGAGCTAAACGGACGCGGCACAGGCTAGAGAAGAGATGGAGTGATGTGGTACAGGAGGACGTGGAGCTGAGTGGACTTGCCGATGACCGGTACCAGCGGTGTCAAGATCGGCCTCTGTGGAGGAGGCTTGTTAAGGACGCTGCTACTGGGCAGTTGGAGGCAGTTGCCCTCCAACAACAACGGAGGGCGGAGGAGCGACGCTCACAACAACGAGCGGAGCGCCGGGTGGCTAAAGCACAGCAGGTTGGCACAGTAGGGGGCACAGGTGGTGCATCAGCCAGTCATCTCAGTCATCTCAGTCAGTCGACCCGTGGCACCTGGGTCTGCCCCGTGACCTCCTGCCAGCGGGCATTCGACACTTCACGTGGCCTCAGGGTGCACATAGCCTGGCACAAGCGTTGTGGTGACGTCACCGCCACTTAGTGGCGAATGTCGGTTGTTGTGTTGTTGTGAGAGTGTGAGTGTGTGTCTGTGTGTGTCTGTGTGAGTGGTAGTGTAGCGGGTAGCTCTACGCTGCGCTAAGAACCCGGCGACCCGAGTTCGATTCCCGTTCATGGCCAACACCACCAGTTACCATTATCTGAACCGGTCCTGTGGGCCTCCCCTAGGTCGACTCAGCCTCAAATGAGTAAACTGGTGTAGCGTAGTGAACATCGCCGTTGGGGAGACAAAGGCGGCCGAGCGTGGTTGCTGGCCACCCACCCCCTCGTGTGCCACAGTGCCGGTAGCCTTCATAGGCGCTGCTGCTACTACTAACAGCACTTGCCCCTACAGCCTGTTGAGGCTACACGGGGGAGCTTTGTCTGTGTCTGTGTGTGAGGTGCTCGCTAACAGCACTTGCCCCTACGGCATGTTAGAGGCTACACGGGGGAGCTTTGTCTGTGTGTGTGTGTGAGGTGCTCGCTAACAGCACTTGCCCCTGCAGCCTGTTAGAGGCTACACGGAGGATCTTTGTCTTTGTCTGTGTGAGATGCTCGCTAACAGCACTTGCCCCTACAGCCTGTTAGAGGCTACACGGGGGAGCTTTGTCTGTGTCTGTGTGTGAGGTGCTCGCTAACAGCACTTGCCCCTGCAGCCTGTTAGAGGCTACACGGGGGAGGGGGTCTGTGGAATGTTGTGAACCACGTGACGGGGTCGCCAGGTCAAACGTCAGTGGGCAGGGCTGTGCGCCTGTACAACCTCCCGTCGGTGAGTGTGTGAGCGTGTGTGAGTGAGTGTGAGTGAGTGTGTGAGTGAGTGAGTATGTGAGTGAGTGTGTGATTGTGTGTGTGTGTATGTGAGTGAGTGTGTGTGAGTGTGTGAGTGAGTGAGTGTGCGAGTGTGTGAGCGTGTGTGAGTGAGTGTGTGATTGTGTGAGTGAGTGAGTATGTGAGTGAGTGTGTGAGTGTGTGTGTGAGTGTGAGAGTGAGTGTGTGAGTGAGTGTGTGAGTGCGTGAGTGTGTGTGAGTGAGTGTGTGAATGTGTGAGTGAGTTGGTGTGTGAGTGAGTGTGTGAGTGATTGTGTGAGTGAGTGTGTGTGAGTGTGTGAGTGAGTGAGTATGTGAGTGAGTGTGTGAGTGTGTGTGAGTGAGTGTGTGAGTGTGTGTGTGAGTGTGTGAGTGAGTGTGTGAGTGAGTGAGTGTGTGAGTGAGTGTGTGTGAGTGTGTGTGTGAGTGTGTGTGAGTGTGTGTGAGTGAGTGAGTGTGTGATTGTGTGAGTGAGTGAGTATGTGAGTGAGTGTGTGAGCGTGTGTGAGTGAGTGTGTAATTGTGTGAGTGAGTATGTGAGTGAGTGTGTGAGTGTGTGTGTGAGTGTGTGAGTGAGTGTGTGAGTGAGTGTGTGAGTGCGTGAGTGTGAGTGTGTGTGAGTGAGTGTGTGAATGTGTGAGTGAGTTGAAGTGTGAGTGAGTGTGTGAGTGACTGGCTCCAGTTTAACAGCAGAGGTCTCACTCCGAATCAGTCGAGCGGCAATATCTTTTCATCGGTTGCGTAACGCTGTGTGGAAGCTACCTGGTCTGTCGCTCCGCACTAAGCTTCAGGTCTTCTCGGC